ATACAATAAGGTATATTATAAAAATAACTTTTTTCTACAAATTCTTGAAATTGACATATAAAGTTATAATTTATCTAACTTTTGAGAGCCATTGGAGATAAACAAGTAAAAAAAAAAATATATATATATATATATTCTTGCAGAAATATTGGCTTTAACGACAAAAACGCCATGTCCGATAATTCAGATGGCTTTTTTATATATAGTGATTGGATTTACTGACTCGATTTCTTAGAGTTTTTAGAAAAAATGATCGGATATAGCAGCAGCTGAACTCCTAAAACCTCCACACGGATAAATTCTTATATCTCACTTATCAAGGAAATATTTTATTCCATTCCTTCTCTACGTATCACATTTATAGGATCAATTTCTTTCCCACTCTTAGCGTTAAATTTGTATTTCTGTTAAGTAGTTTTATAAGTATAACAAAGAGGAAAAAGTTTTTGCTTGAAAGTAAAATTCTATTCTTGTTGCTGACTGGAGAGGGAAGAGATTACTAGTACACTGGCTCAAGAATTAAATGTAAATCTTACAATTTAAAAAAATTGCGAATCTACTGAAGGACATGCTGAATCATTTAAATCCAAAAAATAACGACTATCTATCTACTTATGACAAAATCGGTTCTTCTCGATATTCCACTATTATTAAACTATTTTTTCACGAGGGTGGATGCAAAGATTCTGCTCCCAACATTTTTTTTTTTTTAATTTAGCTGTGAAGCTGCCAGCGTTATCCTTCAGTTAACCAATGAATGGTTTTCAAAGGATTAGCCGCCAGTTCGTGAGAACTATCATGATGCTGACATATTCAATGCGGTGAAACGCAATTTTTTTTAATGAGTTGACGCCCGACTTAGCATTTTAAGGTTGACTATTGTTCTCATGGCGCCTAAAAACAGAATTACCGTTAAGAAGTTCATTACCTGGTATAAAAAATAAATATGTCCATAGATGTATATATTGCAGATAGTAAATAGTATTGGTATGTTTTTCTTTTTTAAAAAACACTGCTTTAACTTCATTTTGTTCATTATCTTGTTTAATTTCAATATAACGGCCGGTTTCAAGTGTCATAGCTGCAAGTGATGAGTATCTTTCTATTTGCTCCATGTTATTTTCAAACACTGGTGGAATTAACTCACGTATTAAGGTGAAAAGTTGTAAACATTGAGTTTATTCGGAGGTGAACAATTATTTTGCTTATTCAAATCGAGTGAGTTACCTTCTATGGAGACTGATGAAGAGACTCTTTTCCAAAATCTGTGAAACTGATTCGCAATACTTAAAACAACGAATGCTCCAAAAGCGAAATCGTTCTGCTGCTCCGGGATCGGCCGAAAACTCACCGAATAAGAAAAAAAAAAAAAAGGTTAAACCTCAAAGTCAATCACCTCCTGAAACACGCAGTAAAACTGAAACCAACAAAGCCGAATTAAACACCACTATACCAGCCATACCAACCAGAAACCAGTTTGCAGCCATCGCTAATACAACCTAAGATTCTTCTGCAGCCTGACAATTTTCAGAACCAGAGCCGCTCCTTCAGGATACCATCAAATCTCTCACCATACTCCTTACCTGACTCCTCTCAGAAATCCCATTCAATATTCTACGATGAGCAATAAGGCCCTAAGTATCCTGTTGTGGAATGCAAATGGCTTACAGAATCATTGAGACGAACTTGACGTATTCCTTCACACAAATCTCATAGACGTTGCCTTAGTGACTGAAACCCATTTTACATCACATTCCTACTTTCACATATGAGACTACATCACATATAGATCAGATCACCCAGACTATACATCCCATGCAGGCTCATGTATCCTTATTCATAAATCCTTACCCCTTTCCCTGATCACTTCCACTTCAACAGACAATATCCAATCAAATTCCATAATATTATCCTCTCGTCCATTTAATATAACATTATCAGCTGTATACTGTCCGGCTGGTAATTCCCTTTCATTTAATCATTGGGATTCCTTATTCCGAACCTTTGGTCAGTGTTTCATTGCTGGAGAGGATTACAATGCCAAAGACCAACGGCTGGGATGCCGAACATCCAATACTCTTGGCAGGATAGTTCCCCGTGTCACATCCACCAATAGTTATTCCATTCTGTCTCCCAAGAACAATACTTACTGGCCTACATCTCTCAAGAAACCTTCTGATATCCTAGATATATTCATTACTTCCCAAATAACCTCCTTTCAATACACAATCAAATCCTTAGACGACCTTTCATCTGACCATACCCCTATTCTGCTTCTCATGCATTCAAATCCTATTCTTAAACCCTCTCCTAGATCACTGATTACAGGACAAGAAAACTGGAACAACTTTCAACATGACCTAGAAAACAATTTGGATTTAAAAATTCCGTTAAAAACTAAAACCCAGATTGATTCCGCTATTGAAGAACTCACAAGAACTATAGAAACCTCCATCAATAACAACACATCACATTCCAAAATTAGAAATTACCAAGAAACCAACCTACCATATCACCTAAGCATATTACTAACAGAAAAATGTCTGGCAAGAGCCAAGTGTTATGAAACCAGATATCCATCGGACAAAATTCTTTACAATAAACTGACAAACAAACTAAAAATAGAAATCAGAAAACACAAATCAGACAACCACTAAAAAGCTACTCAATTTCAAAACCTTCAATCATCCACTCCTCACTAAATCACAAACCTGGTCAAGATCTGATGAAGAAAAGTCTCAAATATTTGGTGAACACCTTTTCAAAACTTTTAACTCTTATCCCCGATATCCTCAACCCTATCCGTCTTGAACATGAAGCAGAACTTACTATCACCCTCCAGTTATCCCTTCCTCCTAAAGCGTTCCATACCTCAGAAATAATTAACATAATTCAGAAATTAACTTCCAAAAAAGCTCCGGGTCACGATCTCATCACCTGCTGAATCCTAAAGTAACTTCCACGAAAAGCTGTCCTACTCCTCACCTAAATATATAATGCCGTACTTAGAACCACCTATTTTCCTGATCCTTGGAAATTTTTCATAACAAAAATTATTCTAAAACCTAAAAAAACACTTGAATACCCATCCTCCTATTGTCCTATCTCCCTTCTGCCTACCATGGGCAAAATACTAGAAAAACTGATATTAAAACGCCTTTACCCAATCCTAGGCTCGTATCACTTGATTCCTGACTACCAGTTTGGACTTCGAACATCTCAAGTCAATATTCAGCGTTGTCATCGTTTGGTGGATGTCATTTCCTCCACATTGGACCGCGGAATGTACTGCACGGCAGCTTTTCCTGTGGAACAGGCCATTGATCGAGTCTGGCATTCAGGTTTATTATACAAACTTCGTCAATTTCTGCCTTCTACATATTTCCTATTAATATGTTCCTTCCTCATAGATAGAACCTTAAAAGTAAATCATAACTGTGCCTACTCATCTATCTTTTCTCAGTCCGCTGGTGTTTCTCAAGGAAGCATCTTAGGTACCATCCTTTACACAGTTTATACAGCTGATATTCCGACCCATCCTTCTACCGTCCTTACCAGCTATGCTGATGACACATGTGTGTTATCTTCCAATAATGAATCAATAGCATCACAAACTCTGCAGTCGCACATTTCAGCCATTGAAGAATGGTGTCATAACTGGAGAATCGAAATTAATGCAAACAAATCTCAACAAATTATTTTTACCCTCCGTTGTAAACCTACTACATCCTATCCTACAGTATCCTTTAACAATAGTCCACTTATCCCTGTCGAACAGATCGGTTACCTAAGACTCCTTCTTGACAAACGTCTTACTTGACATCCTCATACTAGATTGAAAAGACAAGAAACTGCTAACAGATTCCGACTACTACAGGCCAATTTGAGCATATTGAATAGAGCTTTGGGACTCCACAAAACCATCAAATTCTTCCCGTATCCAACCCTTAAGATCGAAAATCCTTTATAAAATCCTTGATGCTCCTTATTATGTCACAAATAAAATTATTCATATAGACCTCAACATTCCCTTTGTTGAAGACTTGGCCCGGCTAAGATACTCCTCATTTAATTTCAAGCTCCTTGGTCACCCTAACCCTCTAGTTCATAACCTATCATCCAAAACAATTCCTGACAACCCTCCGAGGCGTCTGAAAAGAAGATGGCCAAGGGACCTTCTAAATTAATTTAATTTTTGAAGTGCTACCAATGGGTAGTTTCTTTACAAGTTTTTATCATGTTTTAGCAGATTTACTTATTGTGTATGTATACAAAGTTGTTGTAAATATCAAAATAAAAATATTGACTATTGGCCGACTATTGTCAGTGACAGGTGGATAGATATAGTGACCATCATTGTTATAACAATTATACGTTTATAACAACAAAGTTTACCAAGTCCCTTATGGTCGTTATAAATGACATCCACTCTATATTAATTCTAATTTGAAAAAATATTTATGAGCTAAAAAAATTCTCTGACTTCTCCGTGTTTTGAAAATTCCCGGACTTTTCTCATTTTTCCTAGTTTTCCAGATCGGTCACCACCCTGAATTATTATAATTATATTTTTTTATTGATTTTAACCTTAAGTGTGAGACAGGTAAATTCTTAAACAATTCAATGTTTAATATCTAGCCATTACAACAGTCTGAAGATCACCACCATTTTCACACACAGGAATCAAGAAAAATCACTTTGAAGCCACTTGCATTTCACAGCGACAACCGAAAATTCATAAGAAATATATTTATAATAATGTTACAGATATAGATATTTGGTGCTAAAGAATAAATGACAATTAAAATAATGTGAATAACAGACTATTAAACAGATTATTAAAAGCAAAAAAAAGAAATTTTTTAAAGAATGTTCCATTAAATAAAAATAAATACATTTTTAAAACCTTGTTTTACAGCTGTATACTTGTGTTAAAATAGGTAACATAAAAAAATTATGTTAAAGTACTTAAATAATGATAATAAAATACTTAAACATACTTCTAAAAGATCATCAAGAAAGCTACAGGCAAGAATGTCCTGTATTCTAATCTTTCCTGTCCTCATAGGATCCAAAAAAAATAGAAATTTTCTGACAGCAGTACATACATAAAAACTATGAAAGGATTTCTCAAGACCATCTAATTGAGGTAAAGTTGGTATCAAATCCAAGATATAGCTTTCCAAATCCTGCAAGAGATATTATACATTAAGATAAAATAACTGAATATTATAGTATTTTATGTGTATAGACCTAAAAGCCAAGTTATTACAATTAATCCAGAAAATATGGAAGAAGGAAAGGATACAAGAGGCTTGGAATATGGGCCTAATCTGCCATATCCTAAGGAAAGGCTCCATGTATGAGTGTGGTAATTACAGAGCATTCCTTCCGGTTGCCTACAAGATAATGACCAATATCCTACTAAACTGGATATCTGTAATACAAAAATATAATAGGCAACCACCAAGCTGGATCCAGAAGAGGAAGGAACATGCTGGGGGGGGGGGGAGGGGAGGAAATGGGTAGGGTAACAGAAAAGCAGGAGAGGGAGATGGGAGCGGGAATCTACCCCACTCCTTGCGGAATGATCAAGCAATAGTGTTATGATCAAGATATCAATGCCTACTATCACCTCCTTGTGGCGGCCCCCAAGGAGTCCGATAGGATGCGCAAAAGACTGAGGCGGGTATCCACACTTCTTCCTTCTAATCAAGAAGACAGTTGTGTCGATCCTTCTACACCCAAGATAGGTGGAGGGAGCTCGAGCCATTGCTGAGTGGCAGTAGGTATTTTAAATAAACATACACTGTCAATTCAACTTGGGGAACCTGGTGCACCCTATTGCAATTAATTGCCTTCTGCAGGGAGTGGGGGTAGTACCTGTAGTGATCTTTTTCCAACCCCATACTCGTGGGAATCACAATGCAATCTTCATATTAAACAAACAAATGGACAGACAATACAGGTAATGACACAGCTTTGGACACGGAACTGCTAATGAAAATGGAACTGTTGGAGAAGGAAGTGTTTGGGAGGTACTTGGGTCATCAACAGAACCACTTGAGGATAACTCAAGAAGCTCGACTGAGACTATCTCAGCTTAAGTTTCTAAGCTCTCTGTAATAACAGAAGAGGTTAAGGGTCTGGCTGGTGGAACTGGTGTCCCACCAAGACCCAAGTTCTCTGGTACACAGAAAAGAAAATGGAAGAGGATGAAGAGACTCAAGGCGAAGTCTGGGACTGAGCTACTGGTTACAGCAGCTCTGACTGCAAAGGAACCAGTTAGTGAGGAGCCTGGTCCAATAATGAAGCGCACTAGATCCTTGCCAGGAAACTCGACGCCTGTGGTGGGGGGGCTGGTGGCAGTAAGGTGGCAATTATCTCCTGTGGATATCCATCCGCTCAGCTTACCAAGGTGCAGAGAGAGGAGGTGAAAGCCTAGGTGATCAGACCTGTTGATCGGCTGGAGATGGGTGGCATCATGCTAGAGTTTAGTGGCTTTGACCATCATCTGGAGAGTCTTATTATCGTCTGTGTTTATCAAGCCACCAAAGACTGGATTCATAGTGTAGAGGAGGGCTTTACTATCAGTGGGGTATTAAAATCCATGCTGGTAGTGTCAAAAAACTCAAGAAAGCTGTCAGAGTAGGGACATACTTCCCTGGCAAGAAAATTTTGGAGGAGCTCCTTCTAAGAAGACTTCCGATCCAAAATGGTAGGGTCCCTGACATTGACAGTTGGCAGGTATTGGAAACTAAGGTGGTAACAAATGGATTCTACGGAATCCTTCGAATCTCCGAAACCAGTATTAAACACCTTGAGGACAGAAATATGATGAAGTAATGCGTGACCAAAATTGCACTCAAGGTGTTTGAGAAGAAGCCACCCAAACCTAATGCACAGACCACAAAGATGGGTACTGCTTCTTTAAAAGGCAGAGGAGGTTATGATATTAATATCATATTGATTCAAGAACCTTACCTATTCGAGAGCAGGATTAGGGGACTGGGCATGGCTAGGTATAGCATTATTGAAGTGTCTGAATGCCCGAGAACCTGTATCCTGTTCAAGTTCAATTAAGCTGATGCCTCTATAGCATCATTGTTTCAGGGACCTAGTATCAGCTCAACTAGCCCTTTCTGAGGATAACGATGAGGAGAGGATCATAGTGACAGCCGTGTATCTCCCATATGAAGAAGACATCTTAACAGTGGCTCTAAGAAGCCTGGCACAAAGGATGGAGAGAGTAGCAGTGATAGCAGCACTGGATGCCGATGCTCATCACAAGATTTGGGGAAGCTTCAATAACAATCGGAGTGGTGAGTCTCTTTCAGAGTATTTAAGTAGGTTTGCCCCGTGATCTCCTAATGTAGTCATATCATTAGAGTGCTACCATTGGGTAGTTACTCAGCAAGTGTATTCATGTCATTATATCTATTATGTCCAAATTTACTTGATGTATTTATGTAATACAGTTGCAAATGTCATTAAGAACTAAAAAAAAAGAAAGTAGGTTTGACATTGAGATTCTAAATAGGGGCAATGTTGCCACCTTTGTTAATAGAATCTGTTCGGAAGTAATAGACATAACATTAGGGATACGTTGCTTGAGTTCTAGGATAAGAAGATGGCATGTCTCTGATGAAGAATCATGCTCTGATCACTGTTAAATCAGATTTGATTTGTTTGGATATAATCTGACTGAGACTGAATACAGAAACCTAAAACGCACAAATTGGGATATATATTGCATACAGCTCAAGGAAGAAGTCAAATGGTGTCCTAAGACAATTACGAACTCTTGGAATCTAGAATGCCTTAATTCCTCATTATCTGAGATAATTATGAGGTCTTACACTGACAATAACTATGTCAGTTACATGCGTGTTTCCTGGCTGCCTAATGCTAGATGAGCATATAATTAATCCCGCTATGGACAGTTACATCTGTGGCAAAGAAAAGTGGGTTGATGCCAAAAGAATTGTTAATTCTAGGAGAGTTGAATAGGCAATTAGTTCTTTTGCAACATTAGAATCAGCTGGTACTGATGGGATTTTTGCGGCCCTTTTACAAAAAGGCCTACCTGTGATTAGACCCTATCTTTTAGAGTTATTTAGGGGTAGTTTAGCACTTGCATATATTCTTAATAGGTGGAAGGAGGCAAGAGTTTGTTTCTTACCTAAGCCTGGGAATGAGTCCTATGACAATCCCAAAGCATACAGACCTATTTGTCTGACTTTTTTCCTGTTAAAGCAATGGCAAAGATTATGGATAGACACATTAGGGTGAGTTTATTGGTGGCAGTGGCATGCGGAAAACCCATGCGCATACCCTACTGTCACCGAACCCCATACGCCAGAAATGGCCAGGTAGGGTAATTAAAAAAAAAAAAAAAGACACATTAGGGACTCTACATTAGTAGAAAAACAGCTACACTGTGCCCAATTGTCTGCCAAGCCGGCAAATCTTGTGAGACAGCATTCATCATTTGGTCTCTAAAATTGAGAAAAGCTTATCACAGAAAGATGTTGAAAGTGCCCCATATGACACCATGGCTAGAGCATTGGAAAGTAGAGGGGTTGGACTCTTGGCTTCGGAATGGATTAATTCGGTGCCCACAGGGTGGTGTGTTGTCTCCACTTTTGTTGTATCTGGTCGTCGACTCTGATTGTTAAATTGAATGCGATGGGATTTAATTCTCAGGGATACGCTGACGATATTACTATACTGATTGGAGGTAAATTTCCAGATACTATCTCTGGATTGTTCGAAAGCACTATGAGACTTCTGAAAGAATATTTGCCAGGACAATGGCCTTGGCATAAATCCGCAGAAGATAAATCTATGAATCTTCACTAACAGAAGGGATATCAATATTTGACCACCATCACTAAATGGGTCATCATTAACTATCTATAGTGAAGTAAAACATCTTGGGATTACTCTAGATAGTAAGTTAAACTGACTAAGTCATATTGAAAAGATTAGTGGTAAAGCTATACACTGTTTATGAAACCCAGTATGGCCCTATGGTTATACAGAACTGTGATTAAATTCTTAATCCTCTATGAGACTGTGGTGTGGTGGCATGGGGCAGTTGCAAGAAAGCCTAGAATGCTGCTTGACAAACTTCAAAGGCTTGCTATATGATAACTGGAGCAATGAGCACTACTCCCACTGGTGCAATGGAAGTTCTCTTGAATCTGGTACCATTGCATTTAGAGGTGTAAGCACATGCTCTTAGAACTGCCAATAGATTGGATAGGAACTGGGAACGAGATCGAAATTACTGATGTTTCAGGCTCATGCGATCATTTTTGATAGGATTGATAGCAATGAGGTGCTTGCAATGAAATCTGACCTTCAAGTTGATAATTATAGAGATATACTCTATAATTTGATGATAGGCGGGAATAACTCACATAAACTGTGCGATGGAGTTAACTGTTATACTAACGGATCCTTGATGAAGCAAGGATCAGGGGCTAGCTTCTGAAGAAAGGGTAAATCTAATGAGGAAATATTCATATTTCTAGGTAGATATATGTCCGTCTTTCAAGCCAAGATTCTAGCTATCGACTTTTGTACTCAATCACTTATAAGAGAGGGCTTATGAATAGATTGATAACAATAAATACAGATAGTCAAGCAGCAACTGGGGCCCTGAATAGTTATGTAACTTGCTCTAGATGGTAGATGAATGTAAAGGCAATCTTAATCTTCTGCAGTGCCAACAAGGCGAGGGTAGAAATGAAATCCAGGAAATGAAAAAGCCGATTGCTTTGCTAGAAAAGGCTCTGCACAAGTGCCGATTGTACCAGAGCCCATTTAAGTGGGATAAGCCCTGTCTTTGCCAAAAGGCATATCAAGGCAATTGTGGGTAACAAATTTAGGCTATATTGGGAAGTAGACTAGGAAACAAAATTACTTTAGGTTGTTCCTAGTATGGCTCTGTCACAAGAGAAGTAAATCACTTCTTCTAATGGATAGGAGCACCATTAGGTGTGTGACAGGACGGTATACTGGTCACTGTCAACTAAATAAGCATCTCTTTCATTTGGGTGTAAGTGAGACCTCCACCTGCATGCTGTGTGTCCTGGAGAATGAAACAACCTATCAAATTTCTTGTAGATGTGATAATTTGGCTAGACTGTGATACTTTCACTTTGGATGTGATTGGATCACTGACCCTAAGTGCTGCAAACTAATAGATCCTTTTAGTATTAACAGGTTCGCAAAGGCATTTGGCCTGTTTTATCTGAGTCTAGGACGACGCACAACAGACCTTCTTGAGGCTGCGGTGCATTCTAATGTTGTAAAAAAAAAAAAGAAAAAAAAAAAAGGAGCATGATAAACCAAATTTGTATCCTGATAAGTACTCAAACAATGATGGGAAGTAGCTCACAGGATGTCCATGCCTTATTTGTCTATTTCAAAGCAGCCTATGACTCCGTGAACAGGAACTGTCTTCGGAAAATCATGACTGAACTAGGAGTTCCCGGCAAGTTGCTGAGATTGACAAAGGCATGTACAAATGACCCTAAATGTTGAGGCCTAATAGAAGGAGAAGTAAATCTAAAACCTTCAAAGTTCGAACTGGTTTATGGAAGGGAGATACACTCACTGATGTTGTTCAACTTAGGGCTGGAGAATGTGATAAGAGCAAAATAACGTGTACATGGAGGGGTGCACTTCAGAAGAAATAAAAAAATACTTAATTGTGCAGATGATATAGCAGTCCTTGGGAGCAATTAAGAGGACATTGAGAATCTCGCTAAGACACTGACAACAGAAGCAGAGCAAATCGATCAACAAGTAAATGTAGATAAACAAAATATATGATAAGTCAAAAATCCCACCCGAACCACAGGAGTTGGATAGAAGCTAAATTGTTCTAAAGAGTAGACAAATTGAAATATCCTGAATCCACAATAACCTCAAAAAAACAGTCAGAAATAGACCAGTGTATAACAAGTGCAAACAGAGCTTCCTTCTCTCTTTTCGTGGTATGGAAATGTCAAATTAAGGGTGTACAATGCCCAGATGGATTGATTGAATCAACAAAGATGCAATAGAGCTTCATGCAGATAACTGGGAAGAAACAGATCAAGATAGGCAGAGATAAAGAAGGGGCGGTTAAGGCGGCAAAAATTCTATAAAGTCTGCAATGCCAACAGAAAAAAAAATGTGTATAGATATATTTCAAAACTAAAATATAATGTAATAACATTATAATATTATTTATTTTTGGTTCTGAAACATTAAATTAATCAAAAATCAAAGTATGTGAAGAAAAATGAAAAAATGAAGAGAAGAATAGTAGGGGTGCTCAGTCAAAAAAGGAAGGCAAAAAATAAATTATAATATTTATTTTTTTACATACGCCGACGTTTCAACCTGAAGTTCAGGCCTTCATCAGGGCTAAGAAAATAACCAGATGACAAGGTATGAGAAACATAAGTAATGATGGTAAAAAAGATAATAAAAAATGAGAAAATAAAATTAAAAAAAATTATTAGAAAAATAAAATAGATAGATATAAAGTAAAATGAAATTGTTAGAATAATGACTAAGAACTAAGAGATAAATAATAAAAACTGTTACATAGTGTGGAATGATGAAGTAGGCATAATCAAAAAGGGGCGACAAAAATGTTACATTGGGAATCTTAGAATAAAATGTAAAAACATAAAAAAGAAATATAAAGTTATATAAGAAATGAAAATAAAATAAATAGTAAAATTAAAACATTGAGAATGGAGTAGTTAGATAGAAAATTGAGATATTGTAAAGTCTATCAAGATGTACAGACAATGTATAACTCTTTATTATATATTATACATTGTCTGTACATCTTGATAGACTTTACAATATCTCAATTTTCTATCTAACTACTCCATTCTCAATGTTTTAATTTTACTATTTATTTTATTTTCATTTCTTATATAACTTTATATTTCTTTTTTATGTTTTTACATTTTATTCTAAGATTCCCAATGTAACACTTTTGTCACCCCTTTTTGATTATGCCTACTTCATCATTCCACACTATGTAACAGTTTTTATTATTTATCTCTTAGTTCTTAGTCATTATTCTAACAATTTCATTTTACTTTATACCTATTTATTTTATTTTTCTAATAATTTTTTTTTATTTTATTTTCTCATTTTTTATTATCTTTTTTACCATCATTACTTATGTTTCTCATACCTTGTTATCTGGTTATTTTCTTAGCCCTGATGAAGGCCTGAACTTCAGGTCGAAACGTCGGCATATGTAAAAAAATAAATATTATAATTTATTTTTTGCCTTCCTTTTTTGACTGAGCACCCCAACTATTCTTCTCTTCATTATCCACGACAGTCAACCAATTACCAATTATTAAAAATGAAAAAATATTGTCAATATGGATGACAAAACAATATCAGATAATTATAATAAAATAAATTTTCTGCATTACACATTATGATTTTGGGTACTAGGATTACCAGCAATTTCGTTAACTATTAATTAAACATAGTCAATATAAAATCATTATTTAGCTTCAGCAATTTTGTTTACTGAATAGACTTTCTTGACAATAAAATGTGGTTTATCCAATCAAAATGTTTCTCTAAAATTGATTATACCTACTTCAAATGTATATGGAAGAAAAAGGATAGATATCTAATGCAAGTGTTCTCGCATAGGTATAATATAGTATGAAATTAATTCTTACTTTCATATTCTGACTAGTAGATAACTTGTAATTATGATTGTTCTTTCCAGTTCTAGTAAGGTTTTGACTAAATTGTGAGGTAGTAATTATAAATTATTACAATATTTTGTTTGATAAATAAATACTAAGAAAATAGAAATAAAGGGCATTTGAAGTAGAAAATTTAATTAAAATTACCGATTCTCGCAAATATCCTTTTCCAGAAGCATCATATAAAGACAAACCAATTCTAGTTTGCTGCAACCAAGCTTTACGCATGGCATAATTAAATAATGCCAAAATACTAATTCTGTTATAGACATCATTCTGTTGAAGCTGAGCAAAAAGTTTTGCAGTGAAATATTCCCTGAAAAATTAGTACATACATGCAATTAAAATAAACCTAATGATAAATAGATAAATTAAAGAATTATAATCTTTAGTATCATTAATACATGGGTGGGCCAGACCCCCCTACCGTGTACTCCCCCCCTCCCCCCACATCCCTATAAAGTGCATATTGTTGTGTTCCTTGTAACTATTTATTAAAAAAAAGCCAATGTTCCAACAAAAAAAAGTGAACGCACTGCCCCAAGATGGCGGATTGACGACTTTGACTTTAGTTAGTTTTTTGGTCACTGAGAGTCAGCATTTGTCTTAATTTCCTCATAGTTGGTCTTTATTAAAGTTGAATAGTCAAAGAATAATAAAACATGAACAAATATTAAAAAATAATTGGCTTAGGCAATAAAAAACACCGGTAAAGTCAATTTTTTTAACAAAAAAATTTTCAAGTTGAAAATCAAGCATTGTTTATAATTAAATGGGCAACAATAACGCAAAACGTGCTGAAATAAAATATCTGGAGAATATATTTTTTCTTTCTAAAACACTGATTACTTTTTGAAATATTTGAAACAGTTCCGTAGAAAATGCATTTAAATTCCGGCAGAAAAGTGGTGGTATTGGCGTGGATGCCTACAGGCCTTTACTACACCATTCAGTGCTCATAAATGGCTTAGTTATAGTGCTATAATAACGTTTTTGTAAATTTTATTGATTGTATTAACGAACAAATATTAATGCAATAATTTAACTGTCCAAAAAATTTTTTATATTATTTTAAAATTTAACTTCCTTTATTCTAAACAGAGGTCATTTAAGAAGACCTCTATTTTAAAAATGATATAATTATAATAATAAAACTTAATTAGAAAATACTTTGCTGAATATCTTGAATTTTTTATTTAACGTTTGCAATTTAACACTTTGTTTTATATATTTACTGATTTTTAGAGGTAGTTTAAATTGTATATATTTCCCCGGAAATGAGTCATATTAATACCTGTTTTACAAACTAAAATAATATATACCTAATCTGAACTACATATAATGAATAGTTGATAGGTTGTTTAGTAAAACTCATTGTTCAGAAATTGTGGAAAAAATTGTTCGGAAGTTGGACCATATCATAAAAAAATAGGAAATTTTAATATTGAATGCATTATTCTCTCTGAACAAAGAAAGATGGAAAGGGCGAAGCTATAAGTTCTTCTAGGTAACTGGAACTGATTGTTTGGATTTGGTCTAATATAATGAATAGTTGATAGGTTTACTAAACAACCATTTATTCATTAAAAACAATAGACCAATCCAAAGCAGAAATATTTTTAGATGAAAACATGAAAAAATCAAGTGGGTGGAATTTTTTGCCTATCAGTGTATATTAGACAGATGAACAGAATATTTCAAGATGGTGCTAAAAGGGAGTCAAATGCTGGAGAAGTTTGGATGATATTAAGGGGACGATGCAGGTTTATTATGGTGAAGACCATTTTATCAGCAAGAAAGATTTGTTTGAAGCAATTGGCAATTCAGGTGGTCTGAACAAAGTAAAACAAATTGCTGCACGTACATAGGCAACAAATTTGTAAGTAGTTTTGTACCCTTACAAGAAAGAAGATACTAGGAAATGTAATATCCATCGAGATTCATTCCTGTTTAGTTTACCAAAGAAACTCTATTCAAGAATCGTAGAAGCTAGAATAAGAAATATTGTCGATTCCCAGAGCGATATGGATTGAGAAACTCAAGTTGTACATTGGAAGAAAAGTTGCAAATTGGGGCTGTCCACACTTTAAGGCAGGTTATAGAGAAGTCCTTCAAGAATGAAAAATAGCTTTCTATCTGCTTAGTGCCTCACACTTTTTATTGTGCTAATATCTAATTGTATTTCAGAAAAGCTCGTTTTCCTTTCAGATTCATTAAAAAATCTTTTGCAAATGCACTAAACAGAAGGTGAGCTATTTCCCTTTCTTGATAGAACTCTCTATAACCTGCTTCAAAGTGAAGATAGTACTAATGTGCAACTTTAGTAGCAATCGAAATAAAGTGGTTTTCACCATAATTAATCTCCATCGCCCACTTAATATCATGCCAAACTGCATTTGACTCCCTTTTAGCAGGATCTTGAAACATTCTGTTCATCTGTCTAATATATATTCATTTAGCCATATAATTGATACTGATCCTTGTTTTCTTTTTCGAGATTTTGGAACTTTCCTTCTCGTTCGCTTAATGTATTTTTCCAATTTTGGGGTCCGATTTCGCGTTTTCCCTCATTTTGAGACCAAATCCAAACAACTTAGTTCCGTTACCTAGAAGAACTTATAGCTTCGCTCTTTCCATCTTTCTTTGTTCAGAGAGAATAATGCATTCAATATTAAAATTTCCTATTTTTTTATGATATGGTCCAACTTCCGAACAATTTATCCCACAATTTCTGAACAATGAGTATTACTAAACAAACCATCAACTATTCATTATATGTAGTTCAGATTAGGTATATATTATTTTAGTTTATAAAACAGGTATTAATATGATTCATTTCCGGGAAACTACGTACAATTTAAACTACCACTAAGAATCGATTAATGAACAAAACAAAGTGTTAAATTGCAAACGTTAAATAAAAAATTCAAGATATTCAACAAAGTATTTTATAATTAAGTTTTATTATTATAATTATATCATTTTTACAATAGAGGTCTTCTTAAACGACCTCCGTATAGAATAAAGGAAGTTAAATTTAAAAAATAATAATAAATTAAAAAAAATATTTTTTTGGACAATTAAATTATTGCATTAATATTTGTTCGTTAATACAATCAATATAATTTACAAAAACGTTATTATAGCACTATAACTAAGCCATTTATGAGCACTGAATGGTGTGGTAGAGGCCTGTAGGCATCCACGCCTAGCTACCGCTTTTCTGCCTTAATGCATTTTCTACGGAACTGCTTCAAATATTTTAAAAAGTAATCAGTGTTTTAGAAAGAAAAATATATTCTCCAGATGTTTTATTTCAGCACGTTTTGCGTTATTGTTGGCCGTTTAATTACAAACGACGCTTGATTTTCAACTTGAAATTTATTTGTTAAAAAATTGACTTTACGGGTGTTTTTTATTGCCTAAGCCAATTATTTTTTAATATTTGTTCATGTTTTATTATTCTCTGACTATTCAGCTTTAATAAAAGACCAACTATGAGGAAATTAAGCCAAATGCTGACTCTCAGTGACCAAAAAACTAACTAAAGTCAAAGTCGTCAATCCGCCATTTTGGGGCAGTGCGTTCACTTTTTTTATGTTGGAACATTGGCTTTTTTTTAATAAATAGTTACAAGGAACACAACAATATGCACTTTATAGGGATGTGGGGGGGGGTGCACGGTAGGGGTCTTCCCCCTACTTCTCCTAGGGACCAGCAGTAGTGGAAAGTAGGGCTGGGATTCGATCTTATGATCTTTACTATACTAGTATACAGTTAAGAAAATAATACTCTATACTCTATACTTTACTAATATAGAGTTAAAAAAATAATACTCTATACTTTACTAGAATAGAGTTTAAAAAAATAATACTCTATACTTTACAAGTATAGAGTTAAAAAAATAATACTCTATACTCTATACTTTACTAGTATAGAGTTAAAAAAATAATATTTGTAAATAAACACTAACAAAAAACAAAATAAAATAAAAGAGTAAGGATAGGGATATTCTTAAAAAGTAACTTAAAACACTCAATAGTACAATCAAACCTGTTTTGTTTTGGGGAATTTTAGTTATGCAATAAATGGTACCATTTTCCATCCATATAAATAATTTGTACCAAAAGCACATGACATAAGTGAAGAATGTTTTAGTACATTCAGTGAAAATGATTTTGATCAAAAAATCATTTAGGATGAAATCACAAGTGACAATAACATAATAACTTACAAGGAAGATATTATTCAAGTTATCCAAACAATCAATGTTGATTAAAACATCATTAGGACTAAAAATTGAGAAGTACAGGCTATCTGAGGCAATACATTTATTGTAAACAGTTCAATTTATATACAGTAAATTTTAAGGCGAACAATGTATTTAACATGAAAATTAGATGGGGTATTGTAGAATGTATATTTTGGGGTTTCGAGTCAATGCCCCCTAAACCTACAAGAGGAGAAATGTATCAAATAAAGTATAGGTTGTCTCTATGCTTCATTTATAGTGCCTGTAAGGAATATTTATGAGAAGCTACCAAATTTATAAAAAATAATTAAATTGATATAAAATCGATTGATATTATTATTAATAAACCTTCCAGGGACCATGAGGATGATCGAGTTAAAATTTAGCAAAGGTTGTTTCAGCAGTTTTCATGGCTAGCGGTAACAAGAACAGAAAAACCACCTTTATTCTGGAACAAAGTCCCTTAAGAATAGTATTAGTGTACAGACAAAATAGCAATAATTCTGGCCATGAAGACAATCACAGTATATGAAGATTATATATACAGACATATAATCTTTAAATTTGTTGTGGTGTTTCTCCATCTGTTTCATTTTGTCTTTTCTGTGCTGCATTTGCGAAATGACCAATATTTTTTTTGTTTTAGAGGTACTTTTAACAATATCCAAATATTATTTCAACAACAATGTAAAGTTAGCATTGAACATTATTAAGTAGAGTAACAAAAACACTAAACACGGATGAAAATATTTTATTTTTACTCGTCAGATTGAGGATTTCAATAGCTTAAAACCTTCAACAACTTTCAATAGCTTAAGAAAAAAAGTGTGAATTAGTCTATTACTTTTTTGATCAATGGTTGCAAGCAAAAAACGGGTTCTTTGATATAATATTATTATCTATGAATTTTTCTGTTTCATCCTAGGAAACAATATCAATACTAACAAATATGGCATTATGCTGTGAATCTGATCAAAACACACCATAAAGCCACATTTATTAATTTTCGCAAAATTTTCTAATCATTGCCATAAAAAATCTAGTGCAGAATGCATATCAAAACT